TTCCCTCAGAATCCCGGCATACTTGTGATTTGAACTCGCCATCGGGCGATCATGGACGGAGGTCTTTAATCCTGCGGGAAGCTACCTTAAGGACGCCCTTCTTCTAGCTGTTAGCGTGCCTAAGGGCACAGAATGTGCTGGGTTCAGGGATTCCATGTAAGCTGAGACAAACAGAGTGGAAGCCACGCCGCAATTTTCAACTCTCAATCTGCAAGATGAGGCTCTAATGTTCATAATCTCTCTTACGTTTACATAGATCTGCGGACCGTGCTATGCTAGGTTCATGGGCCATTTGCTCAGCCTAAGTTCAGCTGAGGCAAGATGGCGTAAACCAGCTGATGCCTTTCAAGCGGCAGCCGCTTGGCCGCGAAATGCGGGGTGGCCTTGGGGATTGATAGGGGTTATAGGGTTATAGGATTATAGGGATAGGGTTATAGGGTTATAGGGTTATAGGGTTACAGGGTTACAGGGTTATAGGGTCATAGGGTTATAGGGTTGTAGGGTTGTAGGGCTATAGGGTTATAGGGTTATAGGGTTAAGACTGATAGGGTGCTAGGGTGATAGGGTTTATGGGTTGATGGGTCTGGGTTCGAAAGCATTTGTGCTTTAGGGAGAAAGCGTGTGGGATGCCATAGGGGCAACGTCCTAAGTCCAACTCGCTGTCACCTCGGGTAGGCCCAGTGGCCGTAGAGCCAACTCATATGCGGCCCAATGCCCGGTGACCAGAACGTAACGTCAGGGATAGGTATTTCATAAGAAGACAACTCTTTTCTCCTGATGATGATTTTTTCGCGATGATGATGATGATGATGATGATGATGATGATGATGATGGCGAGGACGATGGCGATGGCGATGACGATGTTTTTGTATCATTTTCCATATGCTTAGACGATGACTATGAGTCTTATGAGTCCTTTTCACAGCCGAAGCGACGAAACAGAGAGCAGGAGTGCCAGCATCGAATCGTTTAGGGTTTAGGGCTGGGCGGGTGGGGGGGGGGGGGTAGGTTTGGGGTTTAGGGTTTAGGGTTTAGGCTTTAGGGTTTAGGTTTAGGGAGGGGGGGGGGGGGGGGGGGGGTCACCCAAACCTGACATGAAGCAAGTGTTCCAGCTGGCGTTTGGGGTTTAGGGCTAAAGCTCCATTTCGGAAAGCTAGAAAGAAAGGAGGCCCAAGATCCTTTTGGTAAAGTCTGGAGAAGCAGAAGCCTACCCTCTGAGCAAATGATCACTAGATTCGCAGCCCCCAGACCCCCAGACCCCCAGACCCCCAGAGGTTCAGGGTTCAGGGTTCAGGGTTCAGGGTTCAGGGTTCAGGGTTTAAGGTTTAGGGTTTAGGGTTTAGGGTTTAGGGTTTAGGGTTTAGGGTTTAGGGTTTAGGGTTTAGGGTTTAGGGTTTAGGGTTTAGGGTTGTAACACCTAACTACCTCAGGAACTCAGGCATTGTTGTAGGCTGTGGTTTCCAGAGCCCCTCCACAGGGTTCTTAGAGAGCCTACTAAGAACCCAAGCTTTGTTGCAGGTTGTGGTTCTAAACCCTAAACCCTACACCCTAAACCCTAAACCCTAAACACTAAACCCTAAACCCTAAACCCTAAACACTAAACCCTAAACCCTAAACCCTAAACCCTAACCCCTCCACAGGATTCGTAGAGACTACCGGGGGGAGCCCGGAGGGTCTCCCAGCGCGCCCCGAGGAAGACCCGCGACAACGGAACCTGGGGTCTCCAACGGCGGAAGACGCAGGTCATGTTGAGAGTTTAGGGCCCGGATAGGGTTTTAGGGTTTAGGGTTTAGGGTTTAGGGCTTCAGGGAATTCGGGTTTAGGGCTTAGAGTGCATGCGAGACTGGGATCCCTGGCCGCCTTCGGTATGAGACGTGTAGATGCACCCAAAGTCCAAATTCTGCATGCAAATCTACATAGAAAACAAGGGAAACAATCAAACGTATGTATGGTTATGGAATAACACGTAGCGCAAAGTAATGCAATGAAATGTTGTGTGTATATATATATATATATATATTTATATAGTATTTATTTATTTATTTATTTAGTTCTTTATTTGTGTATTTTATGGCGTGCGACTTGGCCCCCATTGGGGCCCTTGGCGCGAACCGTGCGACGTCCTAGACTCCTGTCCCACGAAAGAGACTGCGAAAGTTCCGTGGCAGTAAGACACAACCCTAAACCCTAAACCCTAAACTTCCACGGAGAAGCCGAGTCTGGCAAGAGCTTTGGGCTTTTGCGGGCGCTGGCCCTCAGGGAAGTGAAACCGAAGCCCTAAGAAGAGGGTGCTTCGAGGCTTTGGGGAGGGGGGGAGGGGGGGGGGTGTGTTGAGGGTTTAGGGTTTAGGGTTTAGGATTTAGGGGTTCACCCAACAAGCAACCCTTGTGCACAGGCCATGGAGGACTACCTGAACCAGTCCTTTCACGAGGAGAGACTCTTGGGGCCAAGGTTTTTTGAGGGTTTAGGGTTTAGGGTTTAGGGTATAGGGTATAGGGTTTAGGGTTTAGGGTTTATTGGGGATTTTCGGCGGGCAGTTTTCTACTTCTAAAACAGGCACAGTTGTTTCAAGTCGAAGCTCCACGATATCGAGCTAGATGTTGCAAGTGCGCTTGCGGGGTTTGGGGTTTAGGTTTTGGGGCCCAGGCACGTCAGAGAGCCCTGGCGCAAGAAGGTTTGGGGCGCAGAGGAGGAGGGGAGGCGGGAGGACGGTTTAGGGTTTAGGGCTTAGGGTTTAGGGTTTAGGGTTCAGGGTTTAGGGTGGGGGCGTGGGCATGCCAGGATCAAGTCTGGAGACTGGAGAACCCTAAGCCGGCTCGTCTGGGTCGTTACACACAGTTTATCTTCGTACACTGTCGTGTTTTCGACTTCTTCTGGCTATGTTTTCTGGGGAATTATTTGTTTTTTTTGTTTATATATAAACCCCAGAGGATACTAAAGATAGGATGTTTATTGAGGTTCTAAGGGGAGTATTGCTGGGAGACCTGGCTTAAATCAATGCCAAGCACGATCCGGACCCGAAACTCTACACCCCAAATCCTAAACCCTAAACCCAACAGACCCTAAACCCAACAGCAAGGAGTGTGCCCCGGAAACTGCAATCTCATCAAACCCACTGTAGCATCCAAAGCCCTGCACCATGAATTTGCAGGTGCGCAACCCCAAGCCATGCCCAAACCATCAGGGCCCAGGCCCAAAAACCGTCTGAGTGCGAGCGATGAAACCCTAAAGTCTCAGTTCGTGCCGCGAGATCGGCTAGGTTGGCTGTTGGGATGTTTTATACGTTCCTTATTTAGGCTTATAAGGGGCCCAATATATTATATCAAAAATCTTCAAACCCTAAACCCTAAAGCGCGTTGTTCAAAGGCCAACCCAGTCGTTTCTTGAAGGAGCCCATGGCAGGAAGCCAGAACGGGCCACCAGTCACACCGGATAACATCGCAGTGACCCTGGGCCTTTACTCCTTATAGGGTTTAGGGTTTAGGGTTGAGGGTTTAGGGTTTAGGGTTTCGGGTCGCGCAGTGGTGCCCTTTGTCCTTTTTTTTTGGTTCTGGGTTCTTCTTATACAGTAACCAATGAAAAAAGATCCCTTTACCCTTTTGTTTGGTTCTGGGTTCCCTTCTGCAGCAGCCAGTCAAAAAAAGTGTACCCGCACTACAAAGTGGTTACTGGGCTACGAAGACTCTAAAGCTGGGTTTGTCTTCAGGGTATATATGTACTATATCCCCCTGGGGAATTATTTGTAATTTTGTTTATATGAAACCCAAGAGGAAATTAACATAGCTTTTCTTGAAGGTTACAGGGCTCTACGCTACACTGGCTGGGGGCAGCCTGAGTCCCTAAACCCTAGACCCTGCACCCTAAACCCTAAACCCTAAGCCCTAAGCCCCAAGCCCTAAACCCTACCCCCTAAACCCAAAACCAAAACGTACTTGTTTTTTCGAGGGGGATGGGGCTGCTTCTGGCATGTACCTTGGACCTACACGTAGGCTCGTGATGTGGTCCATCCTGCGAATGGCGGGCGACGTATTTGTCGGCTCCCTGTTAACTACGGCCTGCCGTATTTGGGGGCTTCCGAAAGTAGGGGTACCTTATTGGGGGTCCTTATGAAAAAGCGAATCCCATTATTTGGGGGTCTACTCTGGGGGTCCCTTGTTTTCGTAAACCTCCCCATAGTTTGGAGGAATTGAGCCTAATCAAGGTTATTTAGGGGTAGGGAAACCCATGAGAACCCTAAACCCTAAACACATGAGATGTGAAGAGAGCGAGATTCAGGAATCTCCGCGTGCAGCGGGGGCCAGACTGGCAGCGGGGAGAAGAGGACCACATGAAAATGAGTTTCGCTGTTTGTGTGAATTGCACCTGTGACTTGAGGTGATAGGCCCTATAAAACCCGAGAAGGATCCAGGTACCTATATAGCATATACTTGGGCCCTACCCTACAGCTACTACATTTCGGGCCTGAGAAGAGACAACATATGCACATGGGGATCCTGAAGGTAAGCCCTTAGCCTCAAGTGCACGTGAGGAAGCAGAGGTGCGATTATCAACGTTATGCAGGGAATGGTGGGGTCCGTGGTACGTGTACCTTAAAAGCATGCATATAGGGTTTAGGGTTTGGGGTTTGGGGTTTAGAGTTTAGGGTTTAAGGTTTAGGGTTTAGGGTTGATGCCTAGAACCAAGAATCCCCTAAAGTCACAAACCGATAAACCCTGACCCCATACTCATAAACCTCTGAAGCCATTGCAACGCTGAAACCTGCAAACACTAAAACTAAAACTTGAACCCTATGGAATCCCAAATGCCCTATACCCCAAAGCCCTAAGTCCTCAGCCTCCCACCCAATACAAACAAATAGATAAACTAGAGTATAGATGCATACGTAGGAAAATAATGACGTGAGACAGGAGCTCGCGCGTGGGGCTCTCTACCTTCCAAGCTCACACTCATGACCCAGCACGTGCAATTTGGGGCTCTGGGGAAGGGGCTTTCCTCCAACA